GTTTTTGTCTCTTAAGCATCATTTGGAGAATCGACAATATCCCTTATATGTGGAGCATATTCGCAGTCATACTCCTTTTAACAATGCCCTTACTGAAGGTAACTGCATTGCAGATGAATCCCTTAAAGAAATTGCTTCTTTATTTTCTGATCAGGTGACAAGTCATTCATATTTTCATCAGAATGCAAAATCTTTGGCAAAACAGTTTCATATTCCTTTGGCACAGGCTCAGGATATTGTACAAGCATGTCCCTCCTGCCAACAGTCAGCCGTTCCCCAGTGGGGTCAACCCTAGGGGTACCTCTGCCAATCAAATTTGGCAAATGGATGTAACACAATTCTCCCCTTTCAAGCCATATGATAAATTGCATGTTATCATTGATACTCATTCTCATTTTCTTTGGGTTACTGCATCCCATCACAAGTGGGCTCAGGATGTCACCACTCATTGTTTAGCCACTATTTCAATCATGGGCCGCCCTGTTCAAATTAAAACTGACAATGGTCCTGCATATATGAGTAAATACTTTAGTCTTTTCTGTCAGCAATGGGAAATAACCTTAGTCCATGGCATCCCCTATAATTCTCAAGGACAAGCTATTGTGGAACATGCCCATCGAACCTTTAAGTCCTTTTTGGAGAGACAGCTGCAGCATGAGTCTGGTCCATACCATTTGCGAAAGATTCAACATTTACTATCTGTTGCTTTGTTTACTTGGAATTATTTAACTCTTGTAGATTCCTTTTCAGATGTTCCTGTTAATGTTCATTTTCGTGCAATAGAACCACTGACAAGACCACTAGTAAAGTATCGCCTTGCTCCTAATCCTGAGTGGCAGGGACCTGCTTGTCTAATTACTTGGGGATGTGGTTACGTGGCGGTTGAACTCCCCCAGACTCGCCAACCTTTGTGGATCCCTGGTCTGCACATTCGACCCTATCATGGCTTGGCATCAGGGTCTGCACAACCCAATTTCCAACTTCAAACTGACTCTCAAAACGGAGGTCCGTCTTCCAAAATATCAACGACCCTCGCCAATCACATGGGGGCAAGTGAAGACCACAACATACCAAGCTCAACAACAGTTGGCTCATGCTGACCTATCTCAGACTCCTGAAAATCTAGTTGCTGCTGTTTTTGCTATTATTACAGCTAATTCTGTCACAATTCTTTTTTGTATTCTCGTCTTCTTTTGGTTCTGTTACTGTTTTAAATGACACTCAGCCTATACAATTTAATCCTAATCTCTGGGTTCGTCATGCTCAATATATGTTTTTGGTTCACGGTACTAATGTCACCCTGTATTATGAGCCTCCTATGGCTTTTGGTCAAGTTGCTTTCATACCTGATTTAATATCTTCATCTTCCTTTATTGTTTCCCAATTGCAAACCATTCATTATTCTTGGTTGTTTTCTAAGCCACCAACGCAACTTAATTCTGTTTGTTGGCGTTATCTTTGTACTAATCAATATACTAGAGGCTTATGTTTTTGCTGTTATGCTCGCCATACTTGGCTTAACAATTGGAATGATTATGCTAAGGCTCAACGCATTTTATCGAAAGTAGGGAATTATAATTATTGTACTGACTATTATTGGCTCTGGGGAACCTTTAATTCTTCTTTGTATGGGCCTAATATTGTGCCTGAAATGTATCCTGATAATTTTCCTATTTTTAACGCTTCTGATATGACTGATACTGGATCCATTTGTGCTGGCTGGCAACTAAAGGACCCTAATATGTGGTTCTTTTTTGACAAATATGCAACCAACGTACACCCTCAGAACTATCAGTGTGCTGCTATTGGCTACTTTTCCCTACCTGTACAAATTGGCATTTCTTCATCTTCTTCACGACAACAACGTTCTCCATTAGGTCCTACATGTAATGATGAAGTTATCATTGATACACAACTGTCCTCTCTAAATACCTTTGGCCGTGCTGTGGCTGGAGCTATTACTGGAGTGATCACCTTAGGGGCTTACCCTGGAATAATAGCTCAAGAAAATAGACATTCTATCCTGGGCTTAACATGTCGCTTGGAGAAATCAATTAATGCCACTGCTGCATGATCTCCAACATGAAATTGAGGACCTGAATCAGGATGTGCTCCAGTAACGTTTTGCTATTGACTATTTGTTAGCACGACAAGGTGGTTTTTGTAAACTTGTTGGCCGTCGTGGATGTGCTGTTCATTTTCACTCTTTGAACAAAACCATTGAAGATGAACTTGCTAAACTCCAATCATATTTTCAGAATAATGTTCATGCTATTTCCTCTCCTTTTGACTGGTTGACCAATTGGCTTCCTGATTGGTCCTGGCTTAAGCAGTTGTTTTTTTATGGTGTGATTATTATTGTCATGTTAGTTGCTTGCTGTTGTTTCATTCAGTGTATTCCCTCATTAATTGCTATGTTTTGTCCTGCTGCTCTCTCTCTGCTTCCTCACCAAATGCGATATATACAAAAATCTTTGTTCCCTCAAAATCAAATAAAAAGAGAGGACATGTAGGAATCTGCAGTCTGCATATGTGCAGGAATTTTCTATCTTGGATGGCAAACCTCAGATAAGGAAGGTTACTTGCACGTAAGCACCAGGAAATGACATTAGAAGATAAAGACCCTAACTCTGTAAACAAGAGGAACAAGAGGAGAAGAAGTGGGATGTGTGTTAGATTTTAATTATAGCTAATTATTAGAAGTGCTTAAGCAAGCAGTAATGGATTAACCTATGATTTAAGTTACCTGGAAGATTCTGTGAGCCAATGATATGCTGCCAAGTACGCTGTAACTTGAAAGTAACAAACTATATAATGTCACTATGTAAGGCAATAAAGTTACCACATATAATCTTAACTTTTGTGTGTGTGGTCAGTCAACAAGATTTGAAATGCCAAATCCAACTGCTGCAACATCCCTGTAGTCACATGATCAAAATTTGCTTAGCAACTATCCTTATAAGTATAGAAGTGCTGCAATTCCCAGGCACACAGACCATGGGCTGGGAGGTGTCAAGCAGCTATGCCTAGCACCACCCATTCCCAAGAAGCCTTGCCTACTCCCTTCCTCCTGCTGCTGGAAGGCCTCCACTGATTAGGCGCCCTGGCAGGTGAAAACCCCTAACCCCTAACACATTAAAAGACCTTGGCCAGCTACTTCTCCACCATCACACTTGTGAACCCCACCACCACCACCATTGTGCCAGTTAATGAGTTTCAAATGAGTTAATTTTCAGATAATAGTTTAAATTAGAGAGAAATTAAATCATTTCTGTCTTTTCAACACAAGGTTTGAACACAGAAAATGTTAATTATATAACCTAAAAGTAATTGTTTTTAGGAACCATCCACAAAGCAAACTACTTGTTTTACAGTTGCCTTTTCAATAGATGTTTCAAGCCACATTTTGATTTTGTTTTATAAAATCAGAACTTAATATACTAATTCTGTATCTTTCTGAATGGAATTCCTTACCACAGAATCATTTTAAAAAACTGCAGTTTTCATAGACGTGATTCAAAACAGGGTTTGTGCCAACCCCTTAGTGATATCAACAAAAAGGGCCACCAATTTATACCATTTATACCACATGGAGCTAAATAAATGAAATTCAACTCTTTTACATTAAAAGTTTCTTCCATATTATAAAAACCAGATTGTTCCTTAGTTAGTCCATCTAGGAATGTGTTAGGAATTTGTGTTTAGCCACCAGATAATTCCTAATTTTTGGCAAGCCTCAGGATCTCAGAGATGGAGCATTGTTCTTGATTAGTACAATCCCCAAGATTCTATAAAAGTGAGAACATATCCTCAAAAATAAAAGGGCATATAAATATCCAAGCAGGAAGATAACTATAGTTCTTTGAAGTCAACCTAGAACCTAAAAAAAGGGACTTATGACCATTTTTCATACTTATGACCTTTCCAGCATCCCCATGAACATGTGATCAAAATTCAGATGTTTGGCAATTGGTTCATATTTATGACTGTTGCTGTGCAAATTCAATGGGAAAGCTAGATTCACTTAACAACTGGATTATTAATTTATCAACTGCAGTGATTCACTTAACAACTGAGGCAAGAAAGATCATAAAATGGAGCAAAATTCACTTAATAGAAATCTCATGTAATAGAAATTTTGGGCTCAATTGTGGTCGTAATTTGAGGACTACCTGTATCTTTTTCAGATATATATTACACAATTTAGCTAGGCCCAGTGACACAGGGACCTCCTGCCTCCTGTATTTATTTTATTTATAAATGTTTATATGTGGTATTTTCCCTTGTATGCGCTATTCATTTCTGTTCCTAAATGCACTTTATTTATATCTCAAGATTTGGCTGTAGAGATTTAATAAGGTATTTTCTCATAAAACTTCCCCATATGCAAATTACGCAGTTGCCTTATATTTCAAGATTGGCAACTATTTTATATCTTTTATTTATGTAATTTTGGAAGGAAAATACAAAGCAACGTTCTTTCTAGTTTTCCTAGACTTATTCTGAAAGCAGAACTCCTTTGTAGAATGGCTATGAATTTTCCAAACCTGCTGGCAACCATAACTATGTTTTTGAAATAGTTCAATTACTGCAAAAGCACCATGCAAAATAGGATATAAAAATAAAGATGCAAGAAGATATAATGTAATAAAATCATTGTAAAAATTAGCACTCAATAGTGCACCCTACCCCTTCATTTTTTTTCTAATTATTAACTACCGGAACTACAAAGATGTTTATACTTTGCTTTAAAATTTTACAATGGTTGCTTATATATATTTAATGTCGTTTTTTCAGGTTCATTTAAGGACCAACAAGTTTGCACTAGGGACTTATTGTGGAATGCGAATAAGTACAATTTTTGTAATTATTGTCCAAACATTTCAAAATACACTATCATTTAAAAGTCTTAAGAGTTAATCATTGTTGAATTTGAGAGTTGCTTTGGAAGAATATGTAACCTGAAAGACGGGCTATAATTCTAACAAAGAATAAAGCACTGAAAGATGAAAGGGTTTTTTAATAAGAAATTTTAAAAGTTGAACATACATATCAAATGCTACACTCTGGATTTAACACAGGAAAAGGTGGAGTTTGTACAAGAAAACAAATAAACCAAAATTTGTTTCAGACGAGATTTCCTGCAATCAGTTCACTATTATTCTTCTACGCTACTTTCTGGGAATGGATTGCTTATATCCAGTTCTGGCACTTTCAGCAGGTACATGTTTTTATGGAAAGCTCCCATCTCTTGGGCTGTCATGTTTACATTCCATACAGGGAAATCTGGAACTGCCTTTAACCAAAAGTCTTCCATGGGTTTTTTTCCAGTGAACCACCACTCCTAGGAAATGTGAAAAGTTGGACAATTGATCAGAAGGTGAGTAGAGGAAGCAAATAATTATATTTGTCTACATTGTTATTAGACAAAATAAGAATGGAAGGTTTTATGGTATTAAGGCAGGACGTAAAGTGAAATTTGGTTATAAGAGTGAAATAATACGGGGTCAGCGTGGAGGATCTCTGAAGGACCCCTGTGACTTGAGAAAGTTGCAGAGTTCAAAAAGTTCAACCGCAGAATTAACACACTTTCTACAGTTGGAGAGTTTAAGAAGTCAAACGCAGAGGTGCTATGTTAAAATGCAGAACTAACCCACATGGAGCTTCCTGTTCAGGCAATAATGGGAGGAGGGAGAGAGCCTAACACGTAGGAGGTTTATTTCACATTTCCTGTTTTTTGTTCTATAAAGATACGTGTCTTAAAGAAGGACTTTTGTTCAGAATATAAAACAGAATGCATGTCTGAACCTTTTGGCCAAAATAAAAAAGTTATTTCTGATCTCGAAACTCATCTCCGTTGATTTTCTGCAACATTTATGGTGACTGCCGGGAGATTTCGCTGTGGGCAGAAAAGACCAGCCGGTGCCCGGGCGAGGCCATCCTGCCCAACCTTCAAGGCGCCTCTGAGAGTTTTTTTCTCTGGAAGGAAGGAGATGGCCCCTCTGGGTACTCGATGGCTCCAACCGACCCAAGAACCAAAAACAAGATCAAAATAAGCTAATAGATAAATGCTGGCGGAGAAAGAAGAAAAAAAAAAAGAAGAAGAAGCCTGCAGACAAGTATAGTAAACCTACTCCTTGAAGAGTAGAAGAGGGAGCCTGATCAGCTCCCTGGGTCCGGGAAAATGTCTCTTCCTAACGGAATTGGCGTATCCTAATGAGACTCTAGAATTGTGTGGGTGGTTAAGCCATTGCAGTTCCCATTGATAACTGTGGAACGTCCTGCATCTTGGGTCAATGGCAGTGTCACCCATAGAAAATGGGTGGCAAATAGTAGTGAAACAGAACCCTGACTGACTTCACAAATGCCAAGTAGAAGTCATGCTAGTCTGTGTGGCTCGAGTGAGAGGAAATCCCAAATGTCAGGTCAGAAAGAGTCACCCTGAAAAGAAACCTATCTTAAAGACTGCAATCTATGAAGAAGAGAGACCATCCTGAAATGCCAGCTTGTGCAGCATTGCAAATACCAAGGGGACTGAGCCCCAGATACTCCAAAGCAGAAGCACTTCAGTGCATAGCTTACATCAATAGCCTCCACTCACTATGTGCCCATGCAAGTGAAAAAAAGAAAAGAAAATTTGTTGTTCCTTTTTTCCTATGAAAATCCCAAAAGCAAAACCCCAGGATTTTAGGAAATTGTGAAGCTGTGAAGTGTAGAAGGTGTCTGTAGTCTGTGTTGGGGGCAGCAGGTCCTCCCAGATTTCCGTTTATAAGAGGGGTCTGAGAATCAGTGGCAGAACTGATGTTGTGTAGCCCGGCTGAACCAAAGTATAAAACCCCACATAGAAAGGGGAAACATAGGAAGTTGCAGCTCATGTGTGGTAGATACCCCTTCAGCCTAAAGAAGAGAGAGGAAACAGATGTAGGAAAGGGGCCTTGCTGACGGATGACACAGGAAAACCAATTTGGCAAAATAAAGGTCCTTAAAAGAAAAGTGGGGTTCAAACTTGCTCATGAGAGCCCTGGCTAAGTGCAATGATATGTGAACAAAGGTCTCTATACATTTGGAACTTTAAAATTAAGCCAACACCTGCTGGGAGATCCAAGCTAGAAAGAGCTAGACAGAGCATCACCAGGGCAGAGACAATCCAGTGCTTGAGGAGATGGAACAATGGATGAAACCTTGAGTAAAAAGTGAGAAGTTCACTAAAACAATTAGAAAGAATCCCAAACTGCAAATAGATCTGACTAGTCCTTAAAAGAAAAATAATTAGAAGTTGAGAAGCCCCACCATACAGTAAGATGATTCAGATGTTGGGGCTGACCAAAAAAGATTTATGCTGTTATGTGTGGTAGGAGAAAAGAACTACTGCAGTGTTATAAAGATTCTGATAAATTACCATTCTTAAAAAGAGCCAGAGAACTCTGAAAGAACTAAGAAAAGAGAAGAAAATTGTTATTGTTCTTCCCACCTGGGGTTTAGCAGGTAATAAGAAAGAAAAGCCTGTCTAAATGGGAAGACTCAGATAATTGAATTGATTAATTTGATATGATTTCTGTAAAAAAATTAAGTGTTAAGATCTGTGCATTCCCTAATTCAACTAAAATTTAAGGCGGGAATGTCACTGCGTTTTTGTATTTACCAGATGAACTCATATTTTTGGACTGTCAAGACTTTCCGTAGCTTGCCAAGTCCTTATCTCTGATCTACTACGCATGTCCACATTCCTTCACTTTCCTTCCTAACTTTCTTTGTTCTCCTGCCAGGAGAGGTCCGGCCGCAGAGAGGTGGCCGGGATCTTTGCCAAAATGTAATTATTTAGATAGTGAGATGTTTTATTTTCTTTATAACAAATAAATGAGTTTTTCTTAGAAAAAATATCTTCGGGGTTTATTTTCTTGCAAAAGTATGCTTCAAGGGAAAAGTCTCGATCCACGTCTTTAAATCAAGGTGCGATTACCCAAAAGCAGAATGGGATTAATTAGCACTCTGACACCTGATAGCAGAGGATGGTTGATTTATGGCTTTTTCCTTGCTTGTTATTTTTGATGATAAACGCATAGGCAATTAGTTTTTAGTTACTGAGGTAAGTTAATTATTTTTGCAAATATGCCGAAAAAGAAGTAAAGCTAATACAGAATGCATTTTGCCGAAGATATCTCTGCTCTCTCTAATGAAGAAGCGAAAAGAATCTTATGAAGGCTTCAGGAGGAAGATAACGGAAGAGCTGCTTTTGAAGGTACTGTGCTGCGACCGAGGTCAGTGACGCCCCCTTCCAATTATGCATGCTCTCAAACAGTCTCCTCAGAAGCTTTTGTTTTTGAAACGCTTTGTGCAAGGCCAGAGTTTTCAAAAACGGCAAAGCATTTTTCCTCCCATGCAGAGAGAGAAATAATTCATTATTCTCCTCGCAGCTCCGATCTCTCCCTTCGTGAGCTAGCTATAAAAAGCTATAGTGATCTAATCAAAATTTTTGAACAGGAGCTATCCCAGGCAAAAATGGCTTTATCTATGCTTGAGCAAGATAAGAGAGAGTCTCGTGTTTTTAAAATCTCTGAAAACGCCATTTTGCCTTCTCCTTTGGAGCCAAAGACACACCCCCTGGTGGATTTTGTGTCAGGCAAATCAGAACAGAGAGCTGTGCACATGTCACATTTGTCACATGATCATTCCTATTCTCAAATTACAAATGCCACGTTGCAGAAAAATTACCTGAGCTGCCTAAAACTAAAGTTGCAGCACCATCTGCTGGCGAAAGTAATTCACTAGAGAAAGCTGAAATGCATTGCATCTTGAGAGAGCAATTACAATTGTTACAGAAGACTTTATCAGAGATGTCCTTAACTCACTCAGATATTCAGTCTGCAACAGGGTGGATAAAAATCAATGATTTTTTTAAAAAAATCAAAAAAATCAGATTTTTTTTATTTTAAGGATTTTTTTTATTTAAATCGGATTTTTTTGATTTTTATCAAATTTATTTTAATAAAAAACTTTTGGGGTAAAAATCTATCGTAAAATAGTTTTCTATTTAAGATACATAAATAATTTAGCTTATTCAGCATGGAATGGAGCTTAGTTATGTAGCATGAGGCTGTATATTCTGCAACACTGGGACTATCGGTGAGTCAACAGTGGGTCAAAGGAATAGCAGAGATAACAGTTGCTCTTTAAAAATTATGATTTAAATCGAGTTGATTTAAATCAAGCCTTTTTACTAGTGATTTAAATCATGATTTAAATTGTGATTTAAATCAACTCAATTTAAATCAAATCCACCCTGGTCTGCAATGCCACAAGTGTCTCCACAGGCTCAATTTTCAGCACCCCCTGGTGGTGCTGGTGTGCTTTTAGATGGAACACAACAATGCTTAATGCAGCAAAGGCAAATGACTGCGTCCCCAGCAGGTCATGTTAATATTGCAGCTCAAATGCAACAGCCTCAACCACAAATGCATGCACAAATGCCTCCAGTGGCACAACCAGGACCATTTGGTCCACAACAAGCACAGCAAATACCACAGCATACCAAATGCATGTTCCTCACCAGGCATTTTCTGTTGCTCCACTAACTGGTGAGTCAAAATTAAAAATGTCAGGACAGAATTATAAGGGCTGGGTCAGTGAGATTGGATTGTTACTTTGCAGAGAAGGTACTCACTGTATGGTTTTTAATCCTCCTGCTCAGCCATGGACTCCTGAAATAAGAGACTTAGAGACTAAAGCTTGCACAACATTATTGATGTCCATGGATACTGAACTGCAGGTTACCTTTCCGCCTGATGCAACAGCCCAACAAATTTGGGTCCAAATGGAAAATTGCTACAGGCCTGTTTCAATTGAATCTTCATGTTTGCTCATGTCTGAGTTCCATGGTTCGAGATTTAAACCTGGTGAACAAATTGGAGGACATTTGACCAAACTGAAAGGAATCAGAAGAGAATTGAGAGAAAGAGGCTATAATATTGATGATATTCAAATGATCAGCATTATTATTAACTCATTGAATTATGAATGGAAAGATGCCATTAGAAAGATTATCTAGTGCCTATTGCTCAACGCACAGTGGACAATGTATGCAGACTTTTAATTGAAGAAGAAGCACTCATGTTAGCCACTCCACATTTGAGAGGACCACCCGCATCAAGAGCTCCAGCTAGGTGCCCCTTCCGAGGAAGGATCTACGCTCCAAGGATGCCAAGATGCAACATCTGTAATTGTGTGGGATATGCCACCCGGGATTGTCCCCAACGAGTTCCAGCTCCCATCTCGTACCAGCCCAGAGGAACAGACTCCAGAGGCAGAGGCGGAGGACAAGGTCGTTGTGGTCCCAGGCATGATTCGCAAACTCCACTCGCCACATTGGCTTTAACCAATGATCCACAATCTCAACCAGAGTACAACAGACGACTCCTGTGGACTTTGGACAGTGGTGCAGCGTTGTATGTTACTTACAGAAAGAAACTTTTCACAAAGATTCACGAGCCTGAACCTGAATTACGTGAACTTTATTCTTTTTCAAATCATCCTTGTCAGGTCAAAGGAAAAGGAACTGTTTATGTTGAAGAGCTCGATGCATTCATTCCTGATGTTTATTATATACCAACAGCAACTAGTAATTTGCTTAGTCAGAGTCACTTGTCTAGAGCATTAAAGTTCCAGGTTCACCACCTTGAAAAAGCAAGTTACACAGTTAAAGATGGAGATATTGTTGCTGAAACCATGTTAATTGGTGGTGTTTGTTACTTAAAGCCAAAGCCTAAATCGCAAACACAGGCAAGTATACAAACTCCAAAAGAGGAGAGCACAGGCCCAGAGAGAGATGCTCCAGTGAGAGATCCTGTTGCTACTCCAAAGGCTCCTAAAGCCAACAAAATGAAAATAAGGAAACAGGTTGCTCAGAGCAAGCCTGAGGTTCCTCATAAAACTGTTAATGTTGAGAATTCACTAACTGGTAAACCTTTGCATTCCAGGTGTATCCATAAATGGCATAGAAGATTGGGGCATGCCAGTTTCCGTGTTCTTAGGAAGATGCCGGAGTTCGCAAAAGGTTTGGATCTAAAGGGGTGTAAGGTGTTTTTGGATTGTGCTGTCTGCAAAAAGGCCAAAGCAGCAGCCATTCCCAAATGCGCTACACGCCTGTCAACACGCATTTTTGATTTGGTTCACACTGACATAGTTGGTCCTTTTCCACCAACACTTGGTGGTAGAAAATATATATTTTTTTAAAAAAAATTGATTTATATGCCGCCCTTCTCCGGAGACTCAGGGCGGCTTACAATGCGTTAAGCAATAGCCTTCATACTTTTGCATATTTATACAAAGTCAGCTTATTGCCCCCACAAACTGGGTCCTTAATTTACCCATCTTAGAAAGGATGAAAGGCTGAGTCGATCTTGAGCCTGGTGAGAATTGAACTCGCAGTAATTGCAGGCAGCTGGATGTTAAATGCTGCCTTAGGAGGCATTAGCCTCCTACGCCACTCAGGCTCCTATATTTTCTAACAATTGTTGATAATTACTCTAGATATGGATATGGATATCCTATGAAAGAAAAATCTGAGACTTTTCAGATCTTTAAAGACTTTGCTGCTCTTGTTTCTACCCAACACCAAGTTCGCATCGCCAGAATTCAGAGTGATCGTGGTGCTGAATTCATGTCTCAGCATTTCCAGGACTGGATGCGTAAGAATGGAATTCTTCATCAGACATTGGCTCCTTACACACCGGCTCACAACGGGGTCACAGAGAGACGACAAGGGGTCCTGCAAACCATGATGCGTTGTCTCCTAGAAGACACTAACCTTAGTATGCCATACTGGGGTGAAGCTATCAAATATGCAAATTACATTGTCAACCGTACTTGGAGCAGTGTAATAAATCAGTCTCCTTTCTTCATGTTGTATGGGTACAAGCCCGACCTCAAAAACATCCATATTTTTGGTTCATATGCTATGGTGAACATTCCCTTAGCTCAAAGAAGAAAAGGAGGTCCAGCAGCAAAGAGACTGAGATTTATGGGTATTGATGATAACTCAAAATGGAGCAAATTTATTGACTCTAAACATGTAATTGTGATTTCCCAATCTGCTAATTTTGAGGAAGATGTTGACTGGTCCAAGATTCATTCCAATGATCCTGGAGTTTATTTTCCTAGAGATGATACTGCTGATGCTGCGCAGATTGATAATCAAGATTCCACTGGTTCTTCTCAACCTGATGTTCCGTCTTCGCAAGCCGCGGATGCTGACACTAGCAACGAATGTGAGGACGAGGACGAAGCAGAAGACTGGACTGTTGTTCCGAGACTTCCAAGAGGGCCACAAAGGGAATCCCTCCACAACGATATTCTTGGCAACTGACAAAAGCACCCTTGCCTTTGATTTGCAATGTTACACTTCCACCTGATAATTTCACGCAAATCAAACATCTTTCTGATTCAGAGCAAGACAAATGGTATGAGGCAATGCAGGTTGAAATGGACAGTCTAAAGAAACTTAAAGTGTTTACACCTGCAAAACCTCCAGCAAATAAAAAGGTCATTGGCACTCGATGGGTCTACAGAATCAAAAAGAAGCCAAATGGTGAGTCACTGTACAAGGCCAGACTTGTAGCTCAGGGTTTCGCTCAACGTTATCCTGAGGCCTACACAAATACCTACTCACCGACAGTCAGAACTGAGAGTGTAAAAATTGCTTTAGCAACTGCAACTATTCTTGGTTTAGAAGTTTTCCAGTTCGATGTTGACACGGCTTATCTACATGCAGACTTAGATGAAGAGATCTATGTGAGAGGTCCTCCAGGGTTCCGACAGCAAGAAGGGGATACCTGGTTTCTAAACAAGAGTCTTTATGGTCTGAAACAGTCTGGTTTAATGTGGTACTTATGTCTTACTGACAAACTAAATTCAATGGGCTTTATTAAGTCCGAAACTGATGAGTGCGTGTTCACAAAAAGATCTAACAATGCATATGAGATAATTCTTGTTTATGTTGATGATATTGTTTATATTGGTCCAAATAAGCAAATGAGTGAAATTTTTGCCAAAGCTTTGCAGAGATACTTCACATTGAAATCATTGGGTCACATTAGCACTTATTTAGGTGTTCAGATTGACAAAACACAGAAGGGGTTTAGTCTTTCACAAGAGGATAAAATTGAATAAATTTTGCATCATTGCAACATGAAGGATGCTAACACAACAAAGACACCCATGCAAACAGATTTTCACAACTTGACACATGAAGCAAGTCCTGAGTTCGAGGATCAAACACTTTATCATTCAGTTATTGGGTCACTATTGTACATTAGTAGTTGGACCAGACCTGACATTGCACTTAGTGTTGATCTCTTGTCTCGACATGTAGGTAAGGCAAAACAGTTTCATTGGTCATATGTTAAGAAATTATTGAAATACCTAAAGCACACTAAACATATGAAATTATTGTTAGAACCAATACATACTGATTATGCAGAATTATGTTGTTATGCAGATTCTGATTGGGCGAGTGATAAGAAATCACGTAAAAGTACTTCAGGTTATATGATGTTCTTAAATGGATGTCCTGTTTATTGGCAAGTGTGTAAACAGAATTTTGTTTCTTGTTCATCTACTGAAGCTGAATATGCTTGTGTTTCAGATGCATGTAATTCTCTAACATGGTTTGATGCTTTGGTCACAGATATCTGGACACGTCCAATCCGACTGATCACAGTGATGGAAGACAATGAATCGGTGGTTTATATTTCTGAATCACATTTCACAGGTTCTAGGTCCAGACACACTGACATCCGTTATCAAAACATAAAACAATTAGTGAAAAAAGGTTTTGTTAAATTGCAGTATGTATCTACACATGATCAGATTGCAGACATGCTCAACAAACCGCTTCCAGCAGCTCAACATGAGTATCTGTGTAAGAAGATGTGCCTTATTTGATGATGTACCTGATATTCGCTCAACTGGCAAAAGAAGGGGTTGTCACTGCGTTTTTGTATTTACCAGAAGAACTCATATTTTTGGACTGTCAGACTTTCCGTAGCTTGCCAAGTCCTTATCTCTGATCCACTACGCATGTCCGCATTCCTTCACTTTCCTTCCTAACTTTCTTTGTTCTCCTGCCAGGAGAGGTCCAGTCGCAGAGAGGTGGCCGGATCTTTGCCAAAATGTAATTATTTAGATAGTGAGATGTTTTATTTTCTTTATAACAAATAAATGAGTTTTTCTTAGAAAAAATATCTTCAGAGTTTATTTTCTTGCAAAAGTATGCTTCAAGGGAAAAGTCTCGATCCACGTCTTTAAATCAAGGTGCGATTACCCAAAAGCAGAATGGGATTAATTAGCACTCTGGCAAGGAATGACTAGTGTGTATGTCTAAAGTTTTGTGTACCTTCAAAGTAACTGCAACTGCCTGATCTCTAGAGATATGAATTTAAATTGTTAAAAAAGAATTGGAGGTATTGAAAGGAAGAAAAATATCTCATCCAGTTTGGTTTGGCCACCCAGACAGGATGAAGAACAAAATTCAACTTTCCTTCTTCTCTATGTTTCAAGATAAACTCGAGTTTATAAGTAAAAGTTATAAGTAAAAGTTTATAAGTAAAAGTTCATAAGTAAAAATTTATAAGTAAAAGTTTTAAGTTCACTAGCTACAATACTGATGTGTAGTTGCTATCCTTCAAACTCCCTTTCTTCTACTTCTGCAATGCCTTTCCTCACCCACAAAGGAGGGGGACCTCATTCTCATGTCTTTTAGCCCTGCAAGGTTGACTTAGATCTGTAAAAGCAGAACTAGAGAGATTGAGGAATCAACTTTTATTCAGTCATGAAGAATTATCAAAAGTGAAAGATGATTTACAAATAGGACACAAAATAAATATTGAAAATCTTAAAGATAATATGATTATGCAAGCTAAATAGCAATTAGATGATTTGCAAAATGAAATGAACAAGAAAAATTAGAAGCTATGCAATTTGAAAATGATAGCTTAATTAAAAGTAATAATAATAATAATAAAATCAGAATCAACCTACATTAGAAATAGCAAGACTAAAAGATTTACCTACAGTAATTACTATCTCTGAAGAAATGATGCTTCTGGTAAATAACCTCAAGGAAGAGATAGAAATTCTTAGACAAATTAATAGCTGAAAAATGAAAAACTTGTACAACAAGACATCAGACAAACAGAAGAGAAAACAAAAAACTCCTTTCACGTGCTGAAATAAATTTTAATCATAATTACCAAGAACTCCAAGAAAATTATACTTCTCTTTTAAAAAGTAAAAATTGGATTAGAAGAAAGCAAGGGCAAGAATAAAACTAAACTCCAGACTAGCCTCAGAACACTGTGCTTGTATTGTTCTTGCCTACCTTCCTATAAACAATAAACTAATTTTGCTCTCAAGCAAGAAAAAAGGAAGCTCTACCTTCCAACAATCCTCAAAGGGAAAGGCTTCTTTTTTCCTTCCAACAAGTCATTATAAAGACCCACAATCCTACCTGGCAGAACTTGGAACAATTGATGACCACACACCTTAATGGTGAAGAAAGAGAGAGATTAAGTAGTGCCATTGGTAAGATTTAAAACCCACAGATGGGAGAAACCTCCAGGCTATAATAGACTAACAGTGCCAAGAAGGAACCCTCCCTTTCTTCTCTTGGAGCATTGCTGGACATTCTGTTTGAGTGAAAATGCATCTCTTCTCTGTGCACAACTTATAAAAAAAGACTTTGTTTGCATCTAATTGAGACCTTTGCTTAGCCACAAAAGTGACAAAACTTGCTTTCCTTCTCCTTGTATCCTAAATTCCTTTTGAATTAATTGAGTGAAAGTATTCTGCTCAGCAGTAGAGGGACAGAAAGAGGAAAGACAGTTCTTGTGTCGGCTAAGAAGATTGCCCTGCCATAAAGGGGCCCAGGGCAGCATGTTTGAATCATCTTTGCAAGGTTTGTGCGTATGTTGTTTTAGACAAGTTGCTTCTCAGCCTAGTGAGCTCAATCTGCATTTGAAGAAAAACTGCAAAGGTGTTCTGTAAAGAAGGGAAGCCATAGGCCTGGCTGCAGTAGATGAGAGGCCTGAAGACTGAAGGAGATCAGGGTTCAGTCAAGCCCTCCCCTGAATCCTTGGTCCGAATGAAAATAGGAGGAATAATGTAGCCTTCTTAGTAGACGCAGGGGCATCTAAATCTGTAATTACAAAGCTGCTGGCTCCCTTTTCTAATGATGTAATAAATATCCAAGGGGTTAATGGCTTCATAAATGTCGCCCCATGCTGAAAAACCCTGAAATGTTCCTTAGATGGAAGGAATATAGATATGCCTGTGTGTCCAGTTTCCCTCCTGGTCGTGGTGGTGAGAAATATGGCTCAAGAGGGTCAAATCCCCATACCTGGCAGGAGTTTGAAGTACCAAAGTTGAAGATAACCCACCAGGATATGCTGCACCCCATGCTGAAATCTCTAGCAGTGCCTGTTCGTCTTAAGCAGAAAAGCTATTCACGCCACATCACAAAGGCAATACAAAGAGACAGTCAGAAACTGTTTCCTTTGAATGGGAAGACCCAGTAACAGGTCGGAAAAGGCAGTATGCTTGGACCAGGCTTCCCCAAGGATTTAAAAATTCACCTACCTGTTTGGCGAAGCCTTAGCCTCAGATCTAGAAGATTTCCAGCCTTACGAAGATGGAGATGTACTATTCCAATATGTAAATGATGTATTAATAACTGGGCAAACGAAGGAAACGTGTTGGGACAATACCAACCAACTGCTTCATCTGTTAATGAACAAGGGATATCGTGCCTCAAGGCAGAAAGCCCAGTTGGTGAAGCCCCAGGTTAAATACCTAGGTTACATTGTAAGCTAAATGATCCCTAAAAGTGATACTGCCATTCAAGTGGAGGAAGGGGGGACTTGGATTCGATTTACTAGCATGGCCTGTGTCATCAGATATTTTACAACCTATATCCTGGCGCCAAGGAAGCCTGAGATTCCCTTTACCTGCAGGAATTTATAAGATAGCCATGTGGGTTGTCTCACTTTAAAGGGTAGTGGTGGGAATGCATGTTTGTTCAGGTTCTCAAAGGAAATAGTAAAGAAAACATCTTCACACTTGTGTACTGGCTGAAATCTGCATTCTGACTTAAAGGGAGGGGTCTCTACCACTTTAATCCTACTGCTTTGCCTAAGGGCGTTCAGATTGTGCTTTAGCTGGATGGTTTTCACTTCTGCTTAATAAAAGAATCCTTTTGAACAACTACGTTTCAAGAGTTCGTACTTTCTTAAGTTGGAAGGAGAGGCGATTCTTACAGAGATCAATTGGACATGAATGGAAAGAAGCAGTTTGTCGAATTGTAGAACCAACCAATAGAAAAGAGTTACGGGGATTCTTGGGAGAAGCAAGCTATTGTAGAATATGGATTCCAAACTTTGCTTTGCTGGCTAAATCACTTTATGAAGTTATAAAGGGGGGAGAAAAAGCACCCTTTGTCTGGGATCTGGAGCAAAAATGGGCATTTGAAACCTTAAAATCAAAACTATTATAGGCCCCTGTCATGGGACTCCCTAACTTAGAGAAGCCTTTTATACAAAGAACAATACTGCCCTCGGAGTCCTAACACAACAAAGAGAAAGTTGGCAACAGCCGATCGCTTATCTATCAAAGCAGCTTGACGGTGTAGCAAAGGGCTGGCCACATTGCTTAAAAATATTAGCCGCTATTGCTCTTTTAATAAAGGAAGCTAATAAATTAACTTTTGGGCAGCCAACTACCATTTACACCAGCCATGCGATTCAAGGAGTTTTAGAGACAAAGGGCCATTTATGGCTGACAAACCCCAGAAATTACAAGCATCAAACTCTCCTCACTCAGAAATCACGAGTGATCCTGAAACAAACAAATGCTTTAACCCAGCTACTCTTTGCAAGCATCAGGTCCTGAAACTGAAACAACGTATGCAGGTCAACACAACAATCAGAGTGGAGCAGACCTTCCCAAGCCTGACTGACCAGCCTTACCAGGACTATAAGAGAAAAGGTGACAAAGGTATGCCTTGAAAATCACCTTAAGTGAGTAAATGCATTACCACTATTACTTTGATCTGTGTGATGTTCTCCACATAAAGGAATTAGATTATCTCCTTTTGAAATACTTGAAAATCATATAGGAGACCTAAGCCAGATAGGAACTAAGTGGGTGAATCAGATGGTGGGAGAATTAAATAGCAAATACAAGAAATCCAACAATATTGTGTGTCCCTTAGCCCACCATTTTTGACCACCTCTAGTTATAACATTCAAATAGTAGTAAGAAATAAATGGGAAAACATGATTGTAAAAATGAAATGAATAATAATTGGAGTAATTGTCTTTGTATTTTGAAATCTAGACAATGATAAGTTTTCCTTTTTAATCTTTTTCTAGAAATATGAATAAGTATAAACTGTGACAATTGAAATACTTTAATGGTATATGGTGGTGAAAGTAAAAAGGATTAAGCTGTAACTTGGATACCAGCTAGAAAAATTCTAAATTTAATTAGAGAAATTGTAACGATTGAAATATTCTAAAATTTATATTGTGATAAAAGTAGAAATTATTAAATTGTGATTGGAGGATTGTATGGGTAAAACACTGGAAAGGAAAAAGTTTAATGCCTAGGTGGAAGGGCCCATATACTGTGGTCATGTGTTCCCATTTGCAGTAAAAATGTTGGAATCCAAGTCTTAGATTCACTGGACTCGAGTTAAGTCCATAGTTTAGGAATATCGGGAGGCAGACCAGGACCAGGCCTGACCCCTAGTAGTATGCTTGAAGAAGCGCCCCCTATAAGTGTCCTACTGGCAATGGGCAGGCAACATACGGGGCAGAAGAGGCCTTACTGGTGTCACACTGGAATCTGACCCTTTACGTACGGCTGAAGATTTGGAATGGGAAGTCAAACATATATAGCCATAGGTACACTATCTCTTATTTTAATAAGCGTACTTGCTGTTAGTGTGATCAGTTTGATTTGCTGTATATAGTATTCTGGAATCACCTCTTCCTCAAAAAGACAGGTGCTGAATCCAAAATCATTGACTGTGACAGAGAGCAGTACGAAACTCCTGTAGATATTTATGTTGAAGAAGTCAGGGAGTGGGGTCTCTGTGGGGCTGCTCTAGCTCTAGGAATGTGGATATTGTATTAATAAATAAGGGGTGGTTCTGTGGGATACCTAAAACTAATATTGCC